AGCCAATCGTCCAAGTAGTTCAGGACTCGCATGCCCTGAAGTCTCAGGGGTGCGAGCGCCGCGTCCATGCACTTCGTAAATGTACGGGGTGCTAGGGACAGGCCGAACGGCAGAACTGTGTATTGATACGCCTGGCCCTCGAAAGCGAATCTCAAGAATCGCCTGTGATGGGACGCTATTTGTATTTGGAAATAGGCGTCTTTCAGATCTATTGACATAAACCAGTCCCCGTGGCGCACTTGCGCGAGGAGTTTCCTGGTCGTAAGCATTCTGAACTGGCGTTTCACAAGCGCTCTGTTCAGCTGTCGCAGATCTAAAATGGGTCTGAGACCCCCATCTTTTTTCGGTACCAGAAAATATCTGCTGTATAGGCCCCCTTCGCTCTGAGCCTGAGATAAAGGTTCTATAGCCCCTTTGCTTAGTAGTTTCGCTATCTCGGCACGAAGTAGATGAGACACTTCGTTTTTCACCGTAGTTTCGACACGCGCCGTATAACGGCGAGGGCGTCGAGCGAATTGTAGCGAGTAGCCTCTCTTTATAGTGTTCAGCACCCATTCTGATACCCCGGGAAGCTTTGACCACGCATCTGCGTGAATAGCTAGAGGCAGAATGAAATCCGGGCTCTGGCCGCGGCAAACCGGCAGCTCGAGAGCCCTCGTATACTGGGAACACAACAACGTGTTTACAGCGTTCGAGGCGGGGGGCGCGCTGATTACAGCGGGCGGCCTGGCCGCGCTCAGCTTCTCTATAGCAGATTGTGCAGAGAAAGTGAGCGGGGCAGATCCCGTAGGATTCGGCGTGTTTGTGAGAAAATGTGGGCGCGGGACAGCGGGCACATTTATTACACTGGAAACACTGTCGATTAGGGCCGACTGAATGTGTGTTGGTTTCGTTTTTACAGAAACCAAGGGACATGCAGCGTGTAGTGTAAGCGGGCATTGTGATATGGGCGCGTTCACTACATTGTGTGCACAATCGACCTGAGTCGATTTTATTTGTGCTAGCCCTGCACCGTGGCGGGCTGTGTCTGGGTGTGGGAATGGGCACTGGGGCGTGGGCATTCTTATAACACTCATAACACCATCGGCCGTGGCCGGAACACCAGAAAATGGACTCTTTATTGGATTTATCTGGGTAGCCGTAAAAACGGCTTTTGTGCGCAGGCAAACGGGCTGAGACACCGGCTGGCTCACTGCGAAATACACTGGGACAGTCACGATGCTTGGAACTGACCGAGCGAGAAGTTTTGGTGGAGAACCGGCCGCAGCGGGATCTGAACACCGTCGCTTTCCTAGAGTGGCTAAGAAGGCTTTGAGGCCTCGGGCTTGATCTCAATCCTCGGCCGGGGCCCGCGCTGAGGGGGGCGGCGTCCAGCAGAGCGAGAGCGCGGTCTTTGGTCTCGGGCGTGGCGGCGCTGTGAAGCGGCGACGGCGGGCGATGCAGGTTGCGGCTGAGAGCTGCGAGCAGACGGCTGTTTTGAGCGGCCTGCAGCGGAGCTCGAGCGCTTCGGAAGGAAGTGCTTCATAGCCTGCGAAGTCTTCTGCACCTCCATGAATCTGTCCGCGAAATCTTTGACGGCAGATCCGAAGAGGCCCGCTGGTGAAATGGGCGCGTCGAGGAACACGGAGCGCTCGGCTTCCGTCATCTCGGACAGCGCCAGCCATAAGTGTCTCTCAGCCACGGTGAGAGAGGCCATATTCCGTCCTATGGCCTGTGCAGCGGCTTTAGCAGCGCGAAGAGCGAGGTCTGTAGCGCTTCTCAGGTCCGCAACGCAGATCGCTTCGGGTCCTTCCTCGTCCAGTTTAAGGAGAAGGTCGGCCTGGAAGATCTGCAGGATAGCCATAGTGTGCAGCGCTGAAACTGCTTGCCCGGCGGCGGTGTAAGCGCGTCCGTGCATGGCTGACGTCACTCGGCAGGCTTTAGACGGTAGAGTCGTGTGAGCGCGCCGTCCAGCGGAGGGCGGGCAAAGATGAGACGCTACAGCTGGCTCCACAGGGGGAACGGAGAGGTACCCTCTGTCCTTCGCACCGTCCACCGTGGAGAAAGCAGCGGAAGCAGAGGTACGCAGCCTGGCGGAGAAGGGGGCATTCCACGACTTAGTCACTTCCTCGTGTAGTTCAGGGAGGAAGGGGGCGGGCCTTGACTTCGACGGAGCCTCGTCTTTTCCGAGAAAGCGTCCATCCAGTCTGTTGCGCGGCGGTTGCGCGGGCGCCTCCCAGTCGAGGCCGATGCTTTCCACGGCCTGAGAGAGCAGACGCATCAGCTCAGTCTCAATGCCGGCTCTCTTACCAGTGGTTTGGCAGGAAACGGTAGCGGAGGGGAGGTCCACGTTGCTAGCCCAATCCTCGCTATCGGATGCCAAAAGAGAACACGCCTCGGTGGGTTCGTCGAACTCGTGGACGGACGCGGCGGCAGGCGGCGGCCGTTGTCCGTCGGTGAGCGACTCGAGCAGGGCCTGAAGTTAACTTTTTTGGCCACCAGCCACTGTGGCAGGTGGATATAAAAATTCACCTGCCACAGAGACTTTTTACCAGCCTTTTTTTTTTTTTTTGGCTCATAGCCTAAAGGTGAAAAACGGGAATTTCACAATATTGTTCTTTAACTTGTACACATTTAAGTGCTGTGAAGTTATTAACGAAATCAATATAAGTAATAATAACTCTTAGAATATACATTTTAAAAAAAATCTTTTTATTCATTGATTTTGACACACACATGCACAACAGATCTATAGACCTACCGCAGCTCGTATGTAAACAAATCACCCGCGGCTGTGTTGATGGCTGATTTAGTCACGTAGACAGCTAGGTCCTGACAGCTTTTAGTTACAGCGTTCAGGAACCGTTAAGCAGAACTAAATTAATATTATTATTGGTAAAGTTACCGGGTACCGGACATTTTCTCACCGGTTCCCAACTCCCAACATGTACTACAGTTGCACACGCACACATCTGTGCAACTGTCATTGTTCTGGAGCCTACGTCAGCGTTACATTATCTCATCCCATCTCACCAACAGTTCAATACTGGCACATCCAAACGTAGTCAGAAAAGGGCCTCATCTTCTTTCTGATCGCATGAACGTTACGAAACAACAGTCGCTGTCATAAATCAGCCGCTCACGAACCTTGCCGTTGTCTCCAATTGACCACTTTGTATTAAAATGTCTTATTTTACTTTTCTTTGACTCATCCTCATCTTTTTGTTGGTTGTTTGTTTCAGCTGGCCTTTTTACCCCAGTAATGTGCCGCCACATTATAGCTAAGGTCCAACGCAATGAAAATGAAAACGTAAAAAAAAAAACCTAATGAATCACTCAATTCTCATTGGCTACCTGCCAATGTGGCAGGTAGATTGACAGTGTTACCCGCCAATAGCAAAATTCACCCGCATTTGGCAGGTGGTCGGGTGTTAATTTCAGGCCCTGGACTCGAGCGAAGCCGGCGAAGCTGGCGGGCGAACCGGCGAGCTTTGGCGGGCTGGAGAGAGCTCGGGGGCGCGCTGGGCGCGGCGCTTCTTGCGGCGCGGCACCACGGCGGGCTGTGGTGAAGGCTCGGAGAATGATGCCAGGCGAGTCCTCAGAGTCAGCATAGGCAAAAGCTCGCAATGAGGGCATCCGCCGTCAGCGAGCGCGATAGCCGCGTGATCCTCACCCAGGCAGGACACACAGATGACATGATGGTCCCTGTCGCTGAGTGGGGCGCGGCACGAGCCACAGGATGGCATCTTTAAAAAGACGCAGCTCTTTTGTGACGAGAAGTGAAAGTCGCGTCAAGTAAGCGAGCTAACACTTCTCAGCAGAGTAAATACAATAGGATATAAAAGGATATAGCACGCCAGAAAGCGCAGCAGGTACGGCAGTTGAAGGCGGCGAGGCCAGCGACTCCAGAAGCTCGTCCCGCTGAAAGCTTGCTTCGACGGCGCGGCTTCTCACTCCGGATCCAGCGATGCGTGTGCTTCGCTGAAGAGATGAAAAATCAGCTTGTACCAGCCTACGAGCATATTTATAGGGCTAGACCACGCCCTTTCTGGCGGGACGTGACGATATGGGCGCGGGTTGCCCCCATTGGTCATTACGTCACGCAGAGTCTCTCGATAGGCTGGTGCATTTGCCGCAAGAGCAACCAATAGGCGCGCAAGCTGTCTCGCCTGTGTCTGCTTGCTGCTGCAAAGCGTTTTACATTAATAAAAAATTAAGGATAATTTTTGGCTTCAATATCTCGTGGAAAAGAGCTTTTCCCCATAGCGTAAGCTATTACGCAGTACGAGAGATACTCTCGTAAGAGAACCTCCACAATAGTGTTTTTTTTTTACAACGTTCAAAAAGAGGAAAAAAATAGCGAGATTGTTAACGGCGCCCTCACAGCAGCATTTAGTTGTTTGCTATTTGAGTATTATAAGGTAATAAAATACAAATAATTATAATATTGTAAATCCTGCAAAGTATTTTTTTTATAAAAAAAAAGAACAGTGTGTAATTGGATTACCATCATCAAAGGGGAAAAAATTAAATGACAACAATGATTTTGATATCCCTATAATTCTGGGATTTATAGTTCCTGTTTAAATTTAAATTACTGTTATAATTGTCATTTGGAACATAAAGTGTATTTAAAAAATAATAATTAGGAAAAAAGATTTCAAAGTAGGCTACCTGGCTTATGCTTTTGAATCGCTCTCGCGGTACTTTGATGTCACAATTCACGGTGCAGCGCTGGTTCAAATCGAACAAGCCTACAGCCTGTCAATCACGCTGAAATAAGCCCCGCCTATATATTTGCTTATCCAATCAGAAGAAAAGCAGCACTCCCACCTTCACGGCGAGCTTGTCAATCTTGTGTAAATAAACCCTCCTACACACGAGGCGGAGGGTACACGTCCACTCTCACTAGAGATTTCTGCAGTTCTTCATGTAAAATGGTCTCGAATGAGTTTTTCAAGTAAGTTTGCCCTTTAAAATTGCTTTGACAACGCTGTCTTGTGCCAAAGACATAAACGAGCTGCCTTGTAAAGGAGTTAGCTACATTGGTAATGGCCTCTGAAAGCGAGCATGATGATCCATTCCAGCGAATTCTGCTTCAAATCGGTGGGAAAAGTAACATTCATTTAATAAGCGCGGTGAGCGGACCTGAAGGAGACACCGGCGTTTTACAGGACTTTATCGCTGATATGTTTAGCAACGGGGAGCATGAAGAAATCCACGACTGTATTGGCAACAGTAACGGCGAAATCAAAATCCAAACAAACGTCTGCATTCCCGACCCATCAGAACAAAGTTCATCTATTCCTGATGATCGATGCACCAAGAGCGAGAAACCAGACCCACTCGAGAATAAAAGCGTGAGTTCAAGTAGAAACATCGGCGGCAAGCAGAGAGCCATCAAATGCTCCGTGATCATATTCATCTTCAGACACGATTATGTGTGTGAGAAGGAGAACGAGGTGTGTTTGAGGGAGATCCTGAAGGACGTGAGAGCTCGCTTAAAGAGAAACGCGCTCCGCCCGGCTCTGCTGGGACTCGTCCACACGGACAGCGATCAGTCTGAGAGCCGCGCGTCAGTGGAACTACTGGATCGATCAGTGCGATCAGTGTTTATTAGTCACCCCCAACAGGCCATATGGACCGGCCGGTACGTCTCAAAGTGCCCGGATGTGTTGCAGGAGATCAGATGGAGCACATGCCGGGCTGTGAAGTCCTCAATGTCTGCAGGTTAGAAGCTCAACATAGTGCACTGTTTGGCCATCACTTTCCTAGGAGCCCTTAAAGGGACACGGTGAAGTAAAAAAAAAAAAAAATAATAGGTGGAGGAAAAATTATTTATCAGTGCTTCTGCGTTCTCTCGCAAATGTTTTTGTGTTCCCTCGAGAAACTTTGCGCTCGCTCGCAAAGAGCTAAAAAGTACGGTGGCCGAGACAGCTCAAAGTGCTGGAAATACAAAAAAAACACCCGTAAATTAAGAAAACATTTTCATCGGTTTTACAACACACGTGTGCTCCAAATACTCACAACACAAGCACATACAGAAACGCGCTGCAAATAACACAGACCACAGCGGAAATGTTTCCAGGGGACCCCAATAAGTGACGAACCCGGCTGGGACGTGCTTATAGCTCAATGTCTACTCTTTATTTATTTACTTTTTTTTTCTTGCAAAACATACAGAGGTGACATGTGTGTACTATAGCCTATACAAAATGTATTAACAATATGTTCAACGTCATCAGAATACAAATGAGAAAAGAGTTAACAAAGAAAACTAAAAAAAACTAAATAAAAACAAAAAAAGATAGAGAAAAAGAGCATGAGGGTAAGATATTAATACGGCTCCTTATGCTTTCGAATTGCTCTTGTGGTGCTTTGTGTCATACACTGATCGGTCTGCACTGAGCCACATCAAGTCAAACACACTTTTGAGTGAGTCAATGAATTAAAAACATTGATTCATCCAGTAATGAAACAAGTGAAGTCTTTATGAGTGAGTCATTGAATCATTCATTCAAGAGATTTGTTCAAAAACGCTGATTCATCCAGTAATGAAATAAGTGAAGTCTTTATGAGGGAGTCATTGAATCATTCATTGACATAGATTAAAAAAATTTAAAAAAAATTATTCAAATGAATTAAATATTTTAAAATAGACTGCAGCAATTAACATTTTGTCAGAAACTCTAGTTAATTACATGTTATTTTGTTTCTGTTCAGAATCGTGATCTCTAGCTATTTTTTTTTTTTCATCCAGAATCGCACAGGCTTCAAAATGAATAAAAGTTGTGTTTATTTGTGAACAAGATTATCTTAATGAACAAAATGTGTAAGGAAGCAACTTTTGTTGGTCATAGAGCTTATATTCGGCAACAATTCAAAAGCCATTGAAAAATTAAGCCATTGTAGTCTTTTGAGACTAGTAGGCCTTGTAAGCTCCCTAAGAGCATGTGGCCAGTATACACTCTAGACAATACAAGTAATGATGCCATAGAAGAACCATTTTGGTTCCCCAAAGAACCCTTCAGTGTACAGTCCTTTAAAAAAAACTATTTTTTTTTCTTAGTATGAAGAACATTTAAATAATCTAAATAACCTTTATCACTATAAAGAACCTTTGGATGTTAATTTTTGGATGTTAATGGAAACTTCATTGATAATACACAACCTTTACTATTTTAAGTGTACAAACTCAAACTGACTGAGGCTTCTTGCCTAGACACGAATGTTTGTAAAAATACAATGAGGCGGATATCCATAATGAGCAGGAGTGTTGAGTGTGTTTGCCTGTTGGGTTTGTTGTTCATGAGTCGGATGATTTGGGGAATTATAATGCCTGGAGGCCCCAGAAGAAGGAGAGAAAGAAAGCCAGCTTTGAATGAGTCGTTCCTCTGGCTCTTTGTGTTGCAGAAAGCGGCGCTGGCAGTAAGAGCGGCTTGTTCTGGCCCCTGAAATGTTTCCCAGGATTGTTCAGGAAGCGACACAGAGGACAGGCGGACCTCAACACCAACAGTATGGCAGTCATTTCCATTCGCTTTCAAAAAAACGGTTGTTTCTCTATTGATTAATTGCGCAATCTTTGCTCTTGCAGCAAATCCAGATCCAGCTGAAGAAGGAATCGCCCTGCAGACGAAGCCCTCGGCACAGTGACGCTTCGGGACAGGTCAAGCCTCGCACCTCTACTCAGGTCATTTACTCTTGCACTGCACCTCCCCAGCGGAGGAATGAAGGAAACACACTCGTGATGCACGATGGACATCAGAGGGACATCCCACTGCTATCACTGAAGAGTTTATTAGCATTAAATCATCTATTGTGACAATTGCTGAACACTGTGAATGACTAATGTATTAATTGCTGTTATTATAAATACAATAAGTTGTATTAGTCAGTAAGTTTTGCACTATTCCCTCATGTGATTCTGAACTAACCAAAGGAAATGAATTGTAGCTGTTCAAAACTATTCCAGTGGTTCATAAACCATAATGTTGAATACATGAAAAATAAAGTCACCATGAAATCAAAATGAACAATTCTTGTTTGTTTGTTTTTTATGGAATATGGCAGTTTATTCTATGGGATTTATCTGTGTCATTTTGTTTATTTATTAATGTGGCCTCATTTTCTTCCTCGCTTTTCTCTGATGACGTCGTTCACTGGCGCGAGGGCGGGGCAACCTGTCAATCACATGATGAGATCCACTTATTTTGTCATAATTATGACTGAGTACATCATCATTTTGTCTCAGTACATAATATTTTGACTTTTTAAAAATCTCATGATTTCAACTTTTCTTCGCATAATTGACATAAGTACATCATCATTTTTTACATTTTATGTAATAAGTTTGACTTTTTATGTCATAATTAAGTTTTAAAAACGCTTAACTTTTTTTTCTAATGTGGTGGAAATGGGCTTCCATAGACTTGTTAGTTAAAGCAGATTTTATTTAATACGTACTGCGTACAGAATAGGCTAAATCATATTTGGGATTTTCTGCTGGCTGTTTACAATCTGAACTACTAAATGCATGTTATTGAATTGAGTGATTCTTTTGAGTCGGATCTTTTCAGTTGATTGATCACACCAGACCAGACAGCAAAGGTTTGAATCGGTTTGGTTCAGAATGATTCAAACGGATGACTCGCGCACTGAATCGGTTCGGTGAGCTTCTCGCAGTGGTGCTCACTTAGGGGCGGGGTTAGGGGTAGGTCATCAGACCCCCAGTGACGGGTAGGTTTAGGGGCGGGGTTAGGGGTAGGTCATCAGACCCCCAGTGACGGGTAGGTTTAGGGGCGGGGTTAGGGGTAGGTCATCAGACCCCCAGTGACGGGTAGGTTTAGGGGCGGGGTTAGGGGTAGGTCATCAGACCCCCAGTGACGGGTAGGTTTAGGGGCGGGGTTAGGGGGTAGGTCATCAGACCCCCAGGGGGTAGGTTAGGGGGTAGGTCATCAGACCCCCAGTGACGGGTAGGTTTAGGGGCGGGGTTAGGGGGTAGGTCATCAGACCAATCAGGGATGAGTTCCCTAATGAATATTCATGAGTCTTCCCCTACCATCCTGTGAAAAAAAATATCGCCCCATATCGTCCTCGGACACTTCTTACCATAGATATGCTTCTAACGGGCCTCACAGTAACTCAAAATTATGAGCTACTAAAACCACTCAAATAAACATGTTAGCCTACATGTACAATACTGTAAACTGGCATTTTTTTTATTTGTTACAGAAATTACAAATTATTCCATTTCCACCACATAAAAAAATGCTTTTGTAAATCATAATTATGACAAAAATCAAAGAAATATTGAGATATACTAAGTCATAATTGTGAGATATTTGAAATTATAAAAAAAAAAAAATCAAAATTATGAGTCATACATTTGACTCGCATATCTCATAATTTCGGATTTTTATCTCATAATTTCCACTTTTTATCTCTTATGATGATTTAGGATATCATAATTATTACTTTTTATGTCATTATTTGACCTTTTCTTTAAGAATTTTTACTTATTATCTCGTCTTTTTAACTAATGATGTCATATATAAAAAAACATTCTCAGACTTATGATGATTTACCAAATTATGATTTCGGAAATGGGCTACAGTTATTATAGATATAACAGAATGAAATGTGTTCCATCTTGGACCACAGAGTGGCATGAGGAACCACAGCCTTCACTGAACGGCAGAGAAGAAGAGCCACTGACGGGCTGGCCGCTTCAAAGCCTGTCTGGAAACAATTACTACATGCCTTACACATCTAATATATTCATTTGAAAATAATTGATATTACCCATAAAAGAATAGTTGTATAATATTTGCTTATCACCCCCTTCATATGTTCTACAGCGAGTGATTTAATACTTAATGACAACTCGTCTCACTCAGGCGCAGTTTCCGGCGCGTCCCGTAGAAGCGCTCATTCAGTCAGATGAGTTTGTGCCGCTGCTGTAATAGCAGTTGATCGCTCGAGCGCTCACAGTTTCATTGAGAGTCAAATAGACTTTATTCTTCTTAATACTGTTTGTGTGTTTAAATCCTTGTGCTGGAGGAGATCCAGTGACCGTCGCAAGCAGACATGATCACTTCAGCCGGTGAGTGAGTGCGAGTAACCGAGAGAGAGTGCGTTTGATTTAGCTGAGTCACACAGCTAACGGCTAACACGCCGCACAAGCTCGACGAGCTTCAGAACTTTATCTGTGTTTAATGCAAATATATTTTCAATCATAAGTATGCCACATGTACTACTTTAGCGCTTAAAGGCGGTGGTGATAGTGTAAAGGTTTGTTAATGTCATTTCTCCTGGTGTTTTCACTGCTGTGGTTTGTTTACATCGGCAAAATAGCGTGATTTTTGAGAAGTAGATCTGTTATATGTCTCAACATTGTTTTGACTATATGAATAATATCAAAAAGCCATTTATATGTTAGTTTGAATTAAAACGCATGTCTGAGGTTGTTATTCAGCAGATCTGTCATGTCACTGTTGCTAAACGTTAGCCGTGATGGACTGATATGAAGACAGATGGACATACAGGCTTATATATATATATATATATATATTTATATTAGTAGTCAACATTTGAATTGGATCAAAACATTTAATCAAAGTTATACATGAATTTTAACAATCCCCGTTCTTCTCTTAAGACAACTTTGATTAACTATATATATTTATTTACTTACGCACATATATATATATACATACACTCACATGTAAATAGACAGAAGGTAGGATAAGCCTGTATATACTGTTCTGATGGATGGTTTGCTGTTTTGTAGCTGGTATCATTTCCCTCCTGGATGAAGATGAGCCACAGCTCAAGGTACTGGATCGGCTCAAACAAACATATACATGCTTATCATATGGATCTGGTTATTAACAATATCTTTTTCTTCTTTTTAAGGAGTTCGCTCTACACAAACTGAACTCCATTGTCAATGACTTTTGGGCAGAGATCTCTGAGTCCGTAGACAAAATGTAAGTAGCGCTGATCGTTTGAAGGCGTTCACCCAAAAATTGCCATAAATATGAAAAAGATTTACATTGATTTCTGTATTTTCTAACCTGAAAAGTATAACCCATGTGAACTGCATAAATCCAAGAAAAAAAATATTATTTTAAATTTACTGTAAAATAATAATACTTGTTTTTATTGTAAGTAATATTATGCTACTAATAATTAACTAATTTTGTATCTTGTTACGACTATTGTAGTACTATTGCAGTAGTAATATTCCTAATAATATAATTATATTAATTAAATATATATATAAATATAGCTGTGAGCAGCGATTACGGGCCCAAGCCGGTGGCACCGCCACGCTGGTGCCTTTAGGGTTACTGTGCATGACGGGCAATAACTTAACCCCGCTTTGACTGTTGAGAAGATGTGTACTGTAGAGCTTGCATTGGTGTGGGCTCTGCAAAAGTGTGCATTGAGGGCACATATCATATGCGTGAGCAACCTTCTGAAACCTAAAATGAAAAATGAGACACCCTACGGTCTCATGGACTTAATGGACACATGAAATAAGTACACAAGATTGAAAGTTAAATCAAGTGTGCCAAGACAGAATATTACTTGCCTGATCTGATTAGAAAAAAGTTTGTGTGTGTGTGTGTGTGAAACGTGATTGAACAATGTAGACATAAAAACATACTCCGTCCTTTTGTTCATACAGGACATTATTCAAACTGCAAAGTGTTTACTTATATTTGTGTACAATCGCAATAAAACACAACATTGTGCTTTTGTCAAACTGTAAACTAAAACTGTCACCCAACCAAAATCTCTTTTTTATTTTATACAGAAATAAATAGTCTATCATTCAGATGAGAATAAAGTTAGTTCAAATTTTAAGGAAAACTCTGAAATATAGCACATTCATTTAAAATTCATTCAGGTTCAATTACCAAACATACAAATCTTAATGTAATTTAAAGCAAACAATACATTTAAAATATGCCTAAAAAGATATATATCCAAAAAGACAAGGCCTAAACTTTAACAAGGGTTAAACAATCACTGTAACAGACACAATCATACACACACACACACACACACACACACACACACACACACACACACACACACACACAGACACACACACACACACACAAGTCAAATCACTTACATTTTATATGCAATATTGACTTTTTTCTGTTTCAGCAGCGAAAATAGTTAAACAAATATCACAGCAGAACCATCGAGCATCTCACAGCAACGCGTTCTCTCATTACTGAATGATTCAGCATTTTGAACGAATCGGTTGACTCAAAGATTCAATGACCAATCCATAATCTGTCTCATTCATGAATGACGTTCGAACAAATGAATCATTTTATCATTCAGTAATGAGAAAACACGTTGCTGTGAGATGCTCGATGGTTCTGCTGTGATCTTTGTTTATATATATATATATATACACACATATATATATATACACAAAAATAAAATAAAAACACATTTGAAGCGTGTTTGCTTACTAAATTGTGAGCAGAACGAAAGTTGCAGCAAAGATCAGCAACAGGAGTCAAATTTCATTAATCACGAGAGTGAAGAGCTGACTGGAAAAATTATGACGGAATATTTTGTGTAAAAGCGCCTATTTAAGCGAATCTGTCATTTACTCTTTTGTTGTTGTGTTTTCCCTGAAAACCGGAAGCAAT